GCCTGAGCGCAGCTCCAGAGTAGGACTGGGAGCATGACACAGGAGGGGGGGTCCCACCACGGTGGTGGGGCTCCAGCCTGGGGCTCCGGGGCCAGGGGAGCTGCGGCGGCAGCTGCCCTGACCCCGCTGGTGGTAGCCCATGGGGCAACATCGGCCTGGGCCTCTCCTGCAGCCCCGGTGCCACGGGGGCACCCAGCCCAGCTCAGCGGTGTGCCGGGGTGCGGGCGCTGCTGCTGCTGCGGGCACTCTCCTCCCTGATACCAACTTTAGATGTATTATGTTCTGAGTTAATATTACTTTGAAATTTATAATATCCATGAAAATATTATCTCCGTACTTAAATCCTTTAGTTTAACTGAATAGAGCTATCATTATCCAGAGCTTGTTTATGTATTGCTGCCTGCAAAATAGAGTCAATTTTCCAGACTGAGATGATGAATATGAGCACCAAAGAAATTCTGTAATTTAATTTTAATAACCATGACTTATTATTATTTTAATAACCATAAATTATAATTGTTTAAAAAAAAAATGTTGCAGTGCTTTGCACAAAACCTTGGAAGGAACACTATGCCATAATACTACAGTGGTGGTTGTGTTACAGCTTGTTATTATTCATTTTATTTTGTTGTTAGATGTGCTTTTTGCTGTGAGGAGGAGCTGCTATGGGTTTGGGTGTTTTAGGTCTGATTTTGAACACTGTTGAGGTCCTTTTGCACGCACTGATGGCTCTGGAAACTGGATGAATTACTCTGAATATTTCCTTATAGTATTTCCCCGCAAACACCTGGAGGCAAAGTCACTTTGGGGCGTGTTAGGGCACAGTGGGCCAGGGCTGTTGCACGAGCCCTGCTGCCTCCGCTGCAGCGTATGGTGCAAAGTCCAGGTTTTGGCCTAACGCACACCCTCCCTGTGGCCCAGGGAGGCTCCGGGGCCCCGCCGGCCCCCGCCTGGCCCAGGATGGCCTGACCCCCTCCTGCACTTCATCCTCATGGCCATGGCCCTGCGTGGGCCTGTCCCCCACCCCACCCCTGTCCCATGCCACTTCACCCCAGCCCCGATTGCCTTGTTCGGCCTGGTGCATATTTGTCAGCAAAACTTAACACCCCTTTTGCTAGGATCTGGTGCTTGGTGTGACCCTGGTGGGGCAGCACCGCACCAGCTGCTCACGCAGGGCCAGGGTTGGCCATCAGCCTGGCATTGCCGTGTCGCTCACACCCTCCCAGCTCGGCTCTGGGGCTCAGCAGGCAAATTAAGCCCTGCTTGCAGCAGCACATTTTGGTAGGTACCTGGGGAAGGGAGCATCGCTCACCCCCATGGCCGGTGCGGGGCTGCGTGTGGCCGTCAGGCAGAGGGGAGTGGGTCAAGACCGCTCTCTAGGAAAATGCAACCCGCCCATGTTGGCCTGGATGTTGAGCATGACATGAAGGCTAAAGGACAGAACAACATTTTTTTCCATGCCTCCCTGCATTCATTGTGTGGGCGCTTTACATATAAATAGGCTCATTTCAGCAGGGGCTCCCCAAGGCCATGGTGAGGGAGGCACGAGTCCCTGCCGCCCGCGTGGGAAGGGCTGGCCCCATGGGCAGAGCCTGGCAGTGCCGAGCACAGTGCCCTTCTCACCCCCAAAACTACCTGAAACCTTCAGCCTTGTGGGATGCTTTGGGGTCAAATAATTGCTCTTACTTAGCCCTTGCTTGTTCCTGAGTTTATTTTCCTGTTGCTGAAGGCATGCAGGTGGGCTCAACCCATGCCCCACCACTGCGCTCATGTACAACAAGCACCAGCGACTGCAGCAGCTCCGCAGGGAGCGGGGCCGGGCTCGGCAGCCCCGTGACCAGGACCCACCGCCGGGCACCCCACACACGTTTTCCCTGGCACCGCTGCGGGGCCCTCCCCACAGCTTGTCTGGTTGGGTTTCAGGGTGCGCTTTGGCCAGCAGGTACCAACCCGGTCACTCAGGTCCCACGCTCGCCCGCTCTGCAGCGGCACTACCTGCCTAGGGCCTTCACTGTTGGATTTTTCTTTTTCAGGAGATGATCTTCACACCCCAGCCATCCCAGTGAAGTCTTGCGCTGCTCCAGCTCAGCCTCCCGCCGGCGCTGGGCGCTCACAGGGGAGCATCACCCGTGGTGGCCCCTGGAAGGAGCTGGTTTCTGAGGGGGACCACCAGGCTGGTTGGGCCAGGGGTACCTGCGGAGAGGCTGCTCCTGCTGGGTGTCATTTGGGTGCACACCAGCTGTTTAACACCAGGATTACGTCCTATGGTTCATAGTTTGTGGTGACTTGGAAAAAAACAAACTGTGGCTGAGGTGAGCTCAATAAATTAGAGTTGGGATTAGCTGCAATGTTGGGTGTAGGTTTTTTTTGTTTTTGTTTTTTTTTAAAGCATTGCTGAAAATGTGGGAACTGCAGAAAAAGAAATCTGTATGGTCAACATTTGAGGAATTTATTTACCCCTGCTGCTGCCCACCCCGGGGGCTCGGCAGCACCTCCTGCCCCGGCTGCGGCCTGGGGCTCTCCCCTGCCCCTTCCCACTGCTCCCCGCAGGATGCCCTTCCGACCCGGCCAAAATCAACCAGCTTTGTTCATCAAGGGAAAAAAAAATCAGTTTGCTTGCAGGGTACCAACCCAGAAATTCCCAGCAGGTCCTCGGTTCAGCGTTGTGGGCGAAGCATCGGTGGCACCGCCTGCCCCCAAACTAAATACCTGTGGGGCATCCCCGAGAGAGACAGGCTGGCCTGGCCAGAGGGACATCAGCAGGCAGGGACTCGCTCGCCTCCAGTGAAAAGATCAGTGGGCTCTTTATTTTTTTTTTTTCTTTACAGTTTTATTTACAAAATGTATTAAAACTCTTTGTACAACACCTCATTAAAATGAGGCTCAGTAATTGATGCCCACACATGCAGTTTATGCTTTTACAGCCATTAGTTTGCTTGGCAATTTTTTTCTGCTTACTGAAGTGCAGTTTCAACGACCAAAAATAGGAACTTTTATTACAAAAAAAAAAAAAAAAAAAAAGAGAAGGAAAAAAAAAAAGAAAAGAAAAAGGAAAAAAACCCCAAAATCCCCCAAAGCAAAACAAATGAAAAAAGATATCGAAACGAATCATCGTGAGACTACTGCCGAACTTCGATAGCTTGAAGTTGGTAGCCGGAATTGGTAAGCACTTGACACGGTTTGTTTTAGCTTTACATGCAAGTTTAAAAAATATCGAACCATTTACCAAACTCCCTTCACTGGTGTGAAGCCTTCACTCTTAAAAATTGATTTGATAAACATACATCTTTTATACAGCTTTTAAGAAAAATGTTTGTTTTAAATACAACTCATAACCGCACAGCTTTAGCTCGCCCTTGCTGGGGACGTGATCGCGTTCAGAAGTTGAAAAAAAACCACAGTTTCATGAAAAGAAAATGAAAACAAAACAACAGTTTTTTGTCAATAGCTTGTTAAAAACTTGAACAATAAATTATTCTCCTATGAGCTTTTAAAATGATTTTATATTACATTTTGTTGAAAATACTTATTTTTAACAAGACTTTCCCGTATAATCTTTTTCTTTTTTTTTTTTAAATCCTATTAAAAGTTCAAATCTATCATCAGCAAACTAAACGCCTAAGGGTCAGACTGGTTTAAATGAGTTTTGTTTTCATTGTATGTTACTGATGAAATAAAACTCTATAGTAAACTACAGAAAATACATATTGTCGATTAGAGGTAATTAGTATGCAGATATTCCATTGAGCATTTCCCATGTGATTGACAATATGTTTAAAGTTTTTTTTTTTTGTCTTTTGCTTTTTTTTTTTTTATTTTTAAAGATGAAGTTAAGTAGTTTCCAGGCAAAGGTTCAAGGCTGAAACGCTGCTGCTGCTGAGACGCTGGATGTGAGTAATAGTGAGCCCCTACCTGTAGCAAGGTCGGCTGGAGCGCGGCGTCCTTCCAGAGAGGGCACGGACAGGAGCATCCTCTCACCAGCAGCCATGGAACAGGAGTTGGCAGGAGCTGATATAATATAACAGTACTAGCAGGAGTTGTGTTAGATCGCTTAATATTACTCTGGAACTGCAGCTCTAATTTGAGTTACTCTTTCCTTACTTCGGTTTTAAAACGCCCGTTACCGAGAAGCATTAGCTGAGCACAACGCTAGTTGTGGGAGAACTGGGGTGAAGCGGAAGCAGGCCTGGGAAAAACTAACCTGCGCTTCTCTTGCTTCATTGCTTGATATTAAACAGTGAATTAAAACGCAAATGCACAGCAAGAAAAGAGATATATGGTCTGAACCTAAACAGCAAGTAGCTTCTCTTTTTTTTTTTTTTTAAAAGCCACCCAATGTCATTTTAATAAAGCACCTGTAGGTATGCCTGATGATAGGAAAAAAAAAAAGGAATGCAATATTTTCTGCCCACACTTTAGCTACCTTGTCAAGAAATTAATTTACTGATCTGGAAGCAAGACATGCAGTTCCACAAATTACTTTCTTTTGGATGTACAGATTCACAGTCATTGACCTTAACTGGTTTTAATGCACAGATTTTTTTTTCTTCAGGTGTTTCACCTTTTACTGCTATACAGAATTGCTCAAATTAGCTGGAGAGGAGTTTAAAGTGGCTTAGAAAAAAAAAAAACCAAAACACACCACTGGTAAGTAAATACTGAAACATCTTGACATCAGCTCATACAAGCAGTGACAGGCCAGTCCGGGTTCGCACGCAGCAGATTTCTGAGGCTTGGTGTCAGGAGGAGTTTCATAATTTGATACGGTCGGGGTGGCTGATGAAACCGGCTGTGGTTTGCTTTCAGGACACAAGTTCATTTACTGTGCAGTGGTATCAAAGAATGGCTTTTGTTGCACTGATTTTTTTACAAGAATTTTTTTTTCACATACTAATATCTTGTTACCAGTCCTTTCCCTTTCTTTTTCTCTTCTCTTTTTCTCTTTTTCTTTTTTCTTTTCCTTTCCTTCTTTTCCTTTTCTTTTTTCTTTTCTTTTTTCCTTTCTTTTCTTTTCCTTTCTTCTTTTTCTTTTACTTTTACTTTCTCTTTTTCTTCTTTCAAGCAAAGCAAGAATATTTCGGTGATGGTTTGCATTGTTGTGAGTCTCAGAGTCTTCCATAAGGCACTGAAGGAAAAAATACCAGTTTTTCCTATTAAAAGTACATTGCACCATCATCAACGCGTGTCATGCCTGACACCTCGGAGAGAGTACGACTGGCTCAGGTGGTCCGAATCCGTGAAGTAGCCACATTCTCTGCTGCTTCTCCTCTTGCGTGCTGTCAGGGCGAGGATCTATAATAAAACCAGAAAGATTTCATGACTGCCCGGCAGCGAGGGGCAGGGAAGCTCAGCCCGGGGAGAGGCACGGCCTGTGGGCGATGGGCTAACCAGGCTTCTCCAGAGTCGTTTCTCAGCAATTCAACTCTACTTTTCGTACTTTAGAAATCGTGATTTCTGGTGTAGACTTTTTTGTTCTCTTGTAGATTTTTTTGAGACTTCCTAAAAGCACTTACCTGACCTGATTACAGCTTAAAAAATAAAGGGGAAGAGGTCACTAGCAAGAGAGATTCAAATTCTGATTACAGGAATTTTTAAAGCAATTAACAAAATACTTTTACATGTACTGAACCAGCACAATGCTGGAGAGAGGAGTTCCTCACTTCAGCATGAAGCCAGCTATCACTGCTTGTAATACAGGATGGTACCAAGCTTACTTCTGTTCAGGGAAGAAATTTAAATCACTGTTACTCCGAGACTGCCACCAGACGATGTTTCCAAAGCCCTTTCGCAGCAGTCCGCTGATGCACACAACAAAATAGCACACACAGCTTAAAAAAAAAGGCAAGTAAGAAACCCCAGAGGGTTTTAGTTCCCGGCCCGTAGCCGTACCCCTAGATTTTCACACTTTCTGTGCCGTACACGTTGTAGCCTTCTCTGTACGTAGCGTAATTCTGGGTGTTGGTGGCGGGCGCAGGTTTGAAGTTCTGCGTGTTCTTGGTGAGTTTCATTCGCTTGGACTCGGCCCGAGACTTGTAGCAGAACTCGATCAATGCCACCATCATGGCCAGCCCGAGGCCTCCCACAAGGATATAGAAAACCCCGGCAACATTGCTCAGGCTCAGAGCGCTCGTCTTGTCCTAAGAGAAACGAGCCACACCATTAGTTTTGCTGTGAGGAGCAGACAGACAGACAGACAACAGGCTACTTTGCACTTAGTCCTAGCTGGAGTAACTACACTCATGGCATTTAGTGTCCCGCTGGCAGATCAGTGCTGTCCCCCCCGTCCCCGGCAGCCCGGGGCTGCGCAGCAGTGACTGCTCTGTCTCCCACCCTTTGGCGGGTGAAACCCTGGCCGACTCCAAGGCGATGAGATTTTTTTTGGCCGCTGACTTCCCCAGGCCTTCGGCGTCCCAGAGCAAACCTGTCTACGGCCGAGCATCTCTGGTGGCAAAGGCACCTTGGGAAAGCTCTGACGGGGAAAGCAGTGGCTGCATAAAACAGCAGGTTTTACAGAAGGCCATTATAAAACTAGAAAAAGAAAAAACCAAACCACTACACACTTGGTTTTGGTGAATGCAGATAAAATTATTGAGATGCTGCTAAACTTATCTACCTTTTTTTTCAGTGGTTAGGAAAAACAAAACACCCTAGGAAGATGGTCAGTTACTTTAAGGTCAAGCAGCAGAGCCCTGAGCTAAACTAGCACCTTCGGTGACCGAGGGAGAGCGAGTTACTGAATAACCGGTTGGTCATTGTAACACAAAAAAATGCTGGCCAGGGTTTACCTTCCTTCAATACATGTCAGATGGGGGAGAAGGCTTGCATTTTTAAAACCAGGATTCTGTAACCAGATTAAACAGAGCTGCAACCCTTTTGCTGCTGCTGCGCGGGCCGGCTGGCTGCGTGCAGGAATTGATGCTGGCAGGCAGGGCCCCGGCTGGGCTGCTGCCCCACGCCGCCCCATGCCGGCCCACGCTGGCCCATGCCAGCCCAGCTGGATGGGCAGATGCCAGAGCAACCTGCAGCAAGGGGCTGTGCCCAGGGAAGACACTTGCTGACGGAGCTCGGTTTATGAGTATCTCCAGGGACAGCAAAACTTTCATACAGTCAGAATAAAACCTGATCTACCTTGTAGGTGTCTCTGCGTTTCACAGGCAGTTTGGATAGATGCAGTTGCAGCAAACAGCCTGCCATTTGAACTAAAGATACTACTCATTTACACCTCTCTTCAGCTGCAGTTTCCTTCTGCAGCTCCTGGGCATGCAGATGTCCCATGATCCCAAATCTTATCTCATACAACAGCTACAGGGTTGTGCCCTAAGCAACTTCCAGTCCAGCTGAAACCAATGAATTTTTATTATTGGCTTCGATGGAACTTGAAATTGTCCTCTGACACTGAGAGGGTGCTTCCAAAATTATAGTTTTCTGTTTGAATGATTATAGAGAGCACTTCCAAAGGCACCAGGGGAGTTAGGCACTCAACTGCGACTGATTTCAGCTGGAGCTGGATTTCTCCTCCCCTTGATGCCTTTGAAAATGTCCTTTACTCCAACAAGCCCAGCACTGCTACAGTGTTTTTCTCCTCAATGCCTCTAGAAGCATGAAAAAAAAAAATCCTCTGTGTTTTCTTTTAACTGAACAGTGTCAATAAATATTTCCTGCAATTTAAGCGTGCAGTTACGGGGCTGATCCTCCTGCCGCCTCAGGGGTGGGATCCCCACTGGGGCTACAGCGGTCCTGCCCCCGGAGCTGCTGGAGGCTGGCCGGCCTTGCAGCAGGGCTGGGATGGGACAGGGCAGTACAGCAGCAGAATGGTTCAAAGCAGAATAAAAAGGAATATACAATATTTATGTAATGAGTTACCAATAGCAGTTCTAGATTTTTTTTTTTTAATCAAACCAATTTCAAATGGAATTGGGAAGTAGGGCAGGAAGGGTGTTTTTTCCTTATCATGGGTCTGTCCTGAAATCGTCCACCCTTAGCAAGCATGTGACTGTTTCCCAAACTGACATGTAGAGAATCTAAGTCACAATTTTGAAACAAAAATGTGTTTTTTCAATAAAACTAAAAAATAAGAAAAGATGCTAGCCTGGATAATACAGATTGACTCTTCATTTAAATGAAGATACCAGCTTGGGAGGCTTTGGGGGCTTCTCTTTCCATGTTTTTCTAGCAAAATACTAAATAGTAAAACATACTTACAACTACAGCCTGTTACTGCATAAAAGAAAAATGCTGTCACGTTCAGAGACTTAATTATTTTTTCTATTCTTTTCTTTCAACCTTCAAAATGTAAATATCAACTTTTGAAAGTCATTCTTTGTATAAACAAACAGTGGGTCAAAATGTGATTGCTAATCAGTACGAAAAGACCTTCAGCGACTGACCTTACTTCCGGAGTCCTTGGCTCCACATTCACCCTTATCGTACCACCATTTGTTTTTCAGCTTGTCTAAGATGCCTTGTTCACTGAGTTTCAATACTGCAAGGTTTACAGGAGTTCTTCACGTGGGAAATAACATAAATAACATTATATTATGTTATTTTATGTTATTCAATCTTTAAACTACTTTAAAACTATACAAAGCGATAAAGCAGGGTTCCTGGCCACAAAGTATTTACACTGCAGGCAACTGGATCATCCCCTTAAGTTAATGCTAGAGCAACGCTATATTACCAGGTCCTGCCCATATCGCTTTGAGTAATCGGCACTCACTGTTAAATGAAGGCAGCAGAAACAAAGCAAGTCCAATTTCCCAGTTTGTTGCAATCACAGGCACTCACAGTAGCTTTATGGATTATGGTGGGTTTGATCTAGCAGGACCCCTCGTATTGCACTAACAGACAGCAAGCCCCACCAACGAGCAACTGTGGCTTCTTACGGTAAAACAGCGCCTGTGGCTCCAAGCCCCCGGGCAGCCCCCCGCACCCGGCGGGGCTGTGTGCGCGCACGTCTGCAAAGCAAAAAACCCCAGGGCGGGTGTCATGGAGGGAGGTTTTGCCAGCCATCACGGCTGTTTCCCTGCCGGCGGTGCGTTCTCCAGCTCCTGCAGTTGCCGCTGCAGGGGCCACGTTCGGAGGCACCACGCGGGTGGCTGCTCTCCCCTGGAGCTGCTGCATCCTGAACTCCACTGCTCCAGGGAACTGCAGCAGAAAATAAGCAAATGCAGACCTTTATGAAACAAATGAGTGAACACGGAAACGCTGGCTGAAAGTGCCCAGGGTGGGAAATTCTGGCAGGATGAAGGGAGCTGCTGACTGTGATGCTGCCAAGAGCCTGCAAGCCCAGGGGACCTGAGCTCGCTCGTCCCTTCCCTGTGGGAAAGCAATGCCTGAGGAGCTCTCAGTTGGGTTTTGTAATTTCCATTTCCTCCTCGTGTGATGTCTTGGGGTTTTTCCTGCCCATTTTCATGAGACAGCCTCCCTGTGTTAGGGACATCTTCAGTTCCTGCTCCTGCTCGAACAGCTTTGATCTCTGCTCCATGGCCATGCAGGGCAGCCGGCAGGGAGGAAAGGGACGGGTCCTTAGTCTGTATCCTCGACGATGCTGTGCTACTTTGTGTGGGGTAACACCAGGCAGACACACACACAGCTGCCGTGCAACATGCCCCGCTGTGGGGCCACCCATGCCTGCGGTCAGCGGAGGAGACGCAGGAGCTCAGCCCACGTCTGCCCCGGTGCCAGCCTCACTGCTCGCTCTCGCTGCTCCCTGCCTCTCTCCCACTCCTGCCCAAAGTGCGTGACTGTAGAGCGGAAGAGACTCAAGAGAAAGAGCAGCACAACCTATACAAAGCACCTTAATTACATGGCGGCATTTAGGGAAATGTCCCCAGGCTGGGAGGGCTCACAGCTCTCGGGCAGCTGGAGCGGCTGAGCCCTGCCATGCCTGGAGCAGGTAGATACTGGAAGCAGCAACTGGTGAAGAAAAGCCCCGTTCCCTCATCTGCCAAGAAGCTGCCTCTGAGATGGCGGTGAGACCTGTCGGCAGCTGACGATGGAAAGTGCTGCCCTTGGAGGTGCTACGTGCCCTTCAGGAGGAGAGTGGGCATGAGAGCCACCCTGGAGGGTGGCAGCCCACAGAGGGGGACAGGCTGCGCTCGGCCGAGCCCAGGCAGGTCGTGGGGTACAATGAGAAAAATGAGCATGTTCAAGAGCTCCTGAGCTGAATGCCCCAAGGGCTGCACCAACGTGATCCAGCATGGCATTACTGAGGCCAGCAGGGAGGGCAAAAGCAGGGAAAAGGCATCAAGGTGGGGAGAACCGCTGGTCCCTGGTCCCAGCGGCAGCGATGCCGGCACTGCCTGCGCTGGCAGAGCTTCCCGGCTGGCCAGGCAGAGGCAGCACCACTCCTCCTGGTCTGCACAGGGCTCGGTTTGACACCAGCCAAGATTTTATTTTTGTAAAATGGCTATTTTTAAGCAGCAGCTGTAATCTAATTAAGTATCAATCAGGGAAGGCTGTATGCACTCAGCCGGACACAGCCGACGGGCGGCGGTGACAAGCCGCACGAGACCGAACGCGTTTGCTGGCTCGGCTCTGGCAGCAGGCACGGAGCCCCTGCACCAGGAGCCGGCAGCATCGTAAAACACCAGCTGTATTGCAGCTACCTTTGCATCCACCTATACGCAGGGCTATAAAATATCAACGGGATCAAAGCACGCTCCACAGACACTGCAAACGCCCTGGGTGCCGCAGGTAATGTACCTGCCCTGCTGGCTGATGCCGATGGGGACCGGCCAGGCCCTGGCCAAGCCACCCCCGTGGACCCTCCTGGGCAGCTGTCTTGTGACAAGGCCCTCGGTGACACTTGGGCAAATACGCGACAAGACGCTGTGCATGATTGCAATGCAAGTCAGTGAAAGCTGAGTGCCTTTACCTACCCATTACAAGCCCCAGCAGAAAGAGTGGTGAGGATTATTGCTTAGAGAACAGTGCTCTCATTTTAAATTTCATTTAAAAACTGTCCAACTTGGAGAGATTTTATGCAATACATCTCTCCGCTTTGAAAAGCATTGTGCAGCTGAGAATACACAAATAATAGGGAGAAGGTTATAAACACCTTTTCTCCTATCTGCATATTTTATTGTGCAAATTTTCCCCTCCCCCCAGTCCTATTCCAAACACTATTTTTAATTTGCATGCCTTTATAAACCCCATATGGAGTACAGAGAATTTGCATAACATCCAATACATTATAGATTAGCTTTCACAACATCATACAGTATTGGGAAATGAGGAGGCTTAACATGCTAATTAGGGTGCTTTATTTTTTTTTTAAGCCAAGATTGCAGTTAATTGCACACACGTAACTGCCAAAAAAAAAAAAAGTAGTAAACCAAAATTATCTTAACTAAACAGATGGGAATTTGCCTAAACTGGGGTTTTGACTACAGTTTGTCATGGACCTATTTGTCAGGTGAGGTACTGCAATACCTCAGCCCGGGTAGGAAAGAGGTGATTTGCTCAGTCCGTCTGTCCTGGCACGAGGAGCAGAGCAGGACGGGCACACAAGCGCCGAGGAGCCGCTGCATGCTTCAGACCCACCGACCCTTTGCCGGCGGAGCCGTCACCATGCCGGGGTGATCCTGTGCTGGGGGCTGTCACCCATCCTGCCTGGCACGGGGGCTGACTGCGGGCAGCTGGTATGAGATGGGCAGGTTGTGTAAGGAGGGACTGGGGGAGGAAAGTCTGACATGAAGCTCCCCTGCCTTAGCCCGTCCCATCTCCCCAGCACGCAGGCGACCTGGACGTTTGCCTGAGCGAGCTCCCAGCCTCCCTCGGCTCCGCTATTTTGCTGGCCAGGGCACCAGGATGAACAGCGTGTACCTGAGCGAAGAAGCCCTCTCAATGTGCTAGAAAAGGCACTAATTTGTGCTTCACAGATGAAGCATGAAATGCAGCTTGTTTGATCAAAGTCCTAAGGAACAATTTTGTCTGCTTCCAGGAAATTAATCCCGAGACCTCTTAATGCGCGAGCTGCTCCCCCGCGCAGCAGGATCTGAGCGACCCGATGGTGGGAGCAGGCGTGACGCCTCTGCAGCCCCGGTCCAGCGCTTCACCCGCAATGTGAGCTGGTGCGGGACGGACTCCTCAGCTCCCAAATTCCCAAGTTAAGTAAATACATTGAAAAGTGAGCCTGGCTGCTGGTACATTTCCCGAGTGCTCATCTCTGAGTAGCTGTCTAGCCTTGTTCAATTTAATAGTCAGAGTCAGGCATGGCTTTGGCCGAGATCCTGATGGAGGTGCAGAAGGGCACGTCTGGATCGTGGTATTTCTCTCGCCGAGCGCTCAGCAGTGCACACTGAATGCGAATCCTCCGTACCACGCCTCGGCTTGCAACTCAGCCTGTCCCAAAAAAGGCCCTCGGGCAGCGCCAGCACCCTGCCCACGCCGGCAGGTCGAAGGCTACCAAGTTGCAAAGTGTTTTGTTTGCTATTACAGAAGGAAGCGTAGGGCTCTTCCGGGAGCGAGGGGCATTGGCTGTAAGAAGAGGATTTTTCATAGCTTGCCCCGGCCCTGTTTGTTTGAGGGGGGGATTTTTTTTAATTCCCTTAGAGGCCGAGGAACAGAGAGACCAAATGACTTGCCCGGGTCCCACGGGAAGGCTGTGTCCCAGCCGCCCACCTGCCCCCCCAGCCAGCTATGCCACCCCGAAAATGGCTCAGAGGATCATTTGCTCAGTTTCTGGGTCTCTCTCTCAAAAGTCTTCAATTTCCTTATCTTTTTCCTGGGATGATTTTGTGCTTTCCAGCTTATTTTTTAATTAGGTTGCTGTTGTTGGGCTGTACAAGAGATCCTATGAGGTCCTCGGCCCTTTCCCAGCTGGCTTCAGCTGTTTTTCCTCTGCCTTTAATTTATGACAGGATTCTTTTTCATCTCCCCCCGTGTGGTTTCCAGCCCAGCTCTCTAGTAGTTTGGTTGCCTTTATCAAAGTAAAATGTTCAGAGGTTTGAGAGCTTGTGCTCTCTTGTTGTGCTCTGTACGCCCAAGAAAACAAGCTGAGGCAATTAGGAGCGGGATGTCAGTGTTTCAGATGTCATAAGATGGTATTCCTGGGCAGAAACTTGCAGTGTTTTTCTTTCTCACCGTAACAGAAAGATTTTTTTGTTTGCTTGCCTGTGCTTTTCATCCAGATGTAGCAGGTTTGGCTGATCCAGGCTTAACCACATGAGGCTGGATCTGTTGGGCAGCTTTACCAAACCCCGCTAAGACTTTTTCTGCTGACATCTACAAATGACGGCAAGAATTAAGTCTAGAGAAACACTACCAGGTGCCTCATACTGAATAGTATTGCCCCCAACGGCAAATTAAGCCATTTGCTATGGTTGACTTATTTAAGAGAGGCATAGTGTTAAGAAGATTGGTGCCCATCTATTCTCACAGGCTTCACTATCAGAGTCTGCTGCAAATATGATTTTGCACGTGGGACAGAGATGGGTTTTACTGGTGTTTCAGCAGTTTGTTTTCTCTGCTCCCCTGTTAGAAGACCCCGCTTGGGTGCT